CCGATCCAGGATCGAACAAGCGCAGGCGGGCCTTGCTGGGAAGATATTCGTTGGAGACCTGAGACTTCTTCCTTTGACCTGCGCCTACCTCGTGGCTTCAAGCTGTCGGTGCAGTTGACACAGAGCGACTACAGAATGCTTTACAACATGTACGACTACGCCTCGAAGCTTCAGCAAACGCTCCAGCCGCGGCCCGACGAGCAGGTGGTATTCCGAAACACACTCAAATCCTTTCAGTACCTGGATGCGGACCCCAACTCCCGAGCATTCCCCAAGGATCAGATACCTTCTTGTGACCTAGCCCTCTTCGAAAAGCTCCGCAAGGAGAATGGACCACAGGGACAACGATGCTGGCACACTGGGCTCCGCATAGCAGTTGTGACAGGGCCAAAGACGAGGACAGCGTGTGGAGTGTCCCACACTTATCCTCCGCCGTTGCCAGTGCAGTTTGGATTCTTCAGAGCTGAGGGAGACCTACCTGCCTTTTCAGTCAAGTTTGAAAATGGTCGACAAAAAGGCCGAATGGTAATGGTGTTTAGCGACGAAAAAGAACGCGCTCGCTTCCATTCGCTGCTCACTGGTACGTCTATAGAGCCCGGCGAGAAAGTCTTTACCGACGTGCAAATTACCGGTGTTACCATTGCCCAAAGCCTTCGCGAGCCACTTGGTATGGCACCCTTTAGCCGGCTGCAGTGGAAGGCCGGTAGAGTTGTGAATGACGAGTACGGCTCCGAGGGAGATGCGGCTCCTACGGTCCTTGCAGACAGGCTGAGGATTGTCCTGGAGCATCAGTACGGTACCATCACCGACAGAATCAACGTCGAGCCTGGGGAGCTGCGGATGCGCCTGGAGGTCAGCAACGCCAAAGTACTCAAGTTCCTTCGCCAACCACAGCAGGATATGACGATTGCAATCGCCGAATCGCAAGTGGGCAAGGACGTGCCGCGAAATATGTGGGACTCGCTGCAGCTCATCAAAATGAACCAGACGATACGATCCATCGAGTTCAATAGCCTCAAAGACCTCCATGCCTTCCAATACGCAGTCTTCGGCTTTGAAGTCGTTTTTGATGCGCTGGCAGTCACATTTGCCATTGCGCGGCGTCGCATGGTTGTCCCCATTCACAAGAAGTGGGAGGCAGGATATACCAGAATTCAGGTCATCAAGCAAGAAGACAAGCAGTTGCAGCTACTGGCATTCTTCGAAGAGTTCAGCCACGGGCACTGCATGAATTTCGTACTCAAGGGCACCGATCTTTACGAGGCTTTCCACAGAGGCAGCAAGTCAGGCATTCGGTTTGTCGATGCCAAGTTTCCGCTCCCGCGGCTGCCGGCCGACAAAGACGGGGACTACGACGACATGGCCTTTGTCTGCCTAGATCTGCCGGATCTGCCGGGCGAGCACGACGATATCTCCATCATGTTTGAAAACGAAGACGGTAAGCCAAGCAGAGGGCTTTTGTGTACCAAAAAAACTGCAGTGCAGGATCTGAGCTGTTGCTAACTGTTACATAGATCGGGATCGCCTTGCCCAATGTCTTCCGGCCCCTATCAAGGGTTCTTCGAGGATATCACGAATGAAGTGAGCGGGATAGCAATTAACGCGGATACGTACATGACAATTCCCATCAGCCGATAACGATGCGCATGAGCAGTGGTTGCGCTGCAGCTTCCAAACACACTGTCTAAGTGCTGCGATCCAGCAAAGCGGTATGCACCCATGCTTTGTAGCGGGCCGGAATTTAGAGTAGATTGTTGGCATCGTGGATATACCTTTAACAGGGACGAAAAGGCGGAGCAGGGAGCAGAGTAGGAGCCACGCCAGGGGAGAAGAGCCATTGGTCAGGTTTATCTACCAGTAGAGCAAACGGCCCGTCGCTCCGAGGAGACGTATATGAAATACCCAAGAGAGAAGAAAAAAGGATGGGCGGAAGCATGACCTGATATAAAGAGCAGGGTCGAATTTAGCGATGGATGTACTTTTCTTGCAAGCATTGGCGGAGAGAGCTTAAAGACTATTTCCCCCTTCGTATTCCCCGCGGCAGTCCATGTGCAATCTTGGATCAGCCATGAAGATAATAGTATGTGTATATACCTAGAGCGTTTGGATTTTTCATTTTCTGCTTGTCTAGAACTGGGTGCGCCTTTGAAAAGCAGATGGGCAAGCTAGCATAATTGGAGCATGTGGTCTGCAGATGAGATACCGGTTTGAGGACTCAGTGTGACGCGCACAATTATCGAGCTAGTTCTTTATCGTTGTGAAGTCGCCACAGCCGCCTAGTTTCCTTGGGTTTAGAGTCGAGATCATGATGTCTGTTAGCCGGAACAACATAGTTATTAGAAAGCAATAGTAATCAGGACGGTGGCAATTCCTTTGTGTTTTCACCATGATAATCAAGAAGCAAGCAGCAAGGCAGCCTCTCCCTGATCTGGGGCCCCCTCCCTAAACTACATGAGGCCGTAGCGGCAAAGTCTCGTCCCATGTGCCAAACTCGGGAGCGGCGGGATATGAAGCTTCTAGTGCTAAGACGCTGTGTGTGTTTGCATGACCTTCTTGTTTCTTTTTCTATTTACAGCGTCTCTTTGTTTTCCTTGTCGTGCCGGACTTTATATCGACTCCGAGGTGCGTTGGCTATTTGGGGACCGCGGCTCGGAGAGGGTTCCGGCGGCCGAAGTATTATGGGGAAGCTGAGAAAAGGGAAAGTCGGTGGTTTTTTTTTTCTTCGGCTTGAGATGGAAGGGGGGATTTTGTTGGGATTTGCTAATATGTTCTATTAATTTTTTGGACAAAACTACGGCCGTAAAGAGATTTTGTTGGCTGCTTATGGGCTTGGTCTTGCTACCTAGTACATAGGTGGTAATTGCTGCTGCCAGCTTATTGCTATAGCATCTGGCTCGGGGTGATTATCTTGTAGAAAGTAGAGTACAGTACAGTAATCCTGCGCAGTTTTTTTTCTGTTTGTTTCCTTGTTAGTAGGGGGTTTAAAAGTACATGTCTAACGTACGGTGCGCTGTCTGGAGAGATGAGATTCGGGGGGGATCCAGTAATAAGGCGGTATATTGGCACGATGCCAGATCTGACTGGGAGAGCTTTGCCGTTGATGGTGGCCGCGAGCTAGCAGCTGAGGTTAGCAGTAGGTAGCTAGTACAAAAGCTGGTGAGTCGGCTTGATCAAAGCTGAGGTATCTCGACATGTGTATGTAGGTAGGGATATGTGCCTGTGCAGGCAGGTTGGTATGTAGGACATATGCAGATTGTCTCTGGGGATGCTTCGTCACGGCAACACGCGGCGAGGACGAATGCTGCCCTTGGTGTCGGGGCCCTAAGGTGCGTGTTCCGCTGAGATAATTGACATTGAAGCTTGGTGAGAGCTGTCATACCTAGTAGGTACCGAGTACATCGCCCAGCGGCTAGATTCGTTGACCCTGTGACAGGTTTAGCGGCAACGTCATAGATTCATGTAGAGAGTACGTAATTGGCATGTGATGATGTGGTTCCTGATAGGTACCCGATACCTCGTATATTGCGCAAAAGCGTACAAAGAAAGGCGTGGATTTACATGTGGCTGGCCCTCACTCTGCTTTTTTTTTTTTGCCGCCCATTGTCAATCGGAGGTATGGCATCATCATTAGAGGTTGGGTCTCTTCTAAGTACTGGAGGAGGCCTCGGTGCCCAGTACGAATATCCTTACGTATCCCGTTTTCCTTCATAGGCACCCGGATTCTTTCAAGACGCAGCCCAAGTGCAATAGCCGGTTCGGTGGCATCCGCCGGACGGATTCAACCTCCTTGGGGCTGCAGGCACCTGTAAATGAAAAGCCCGAACATGGGGTTAGCCAGTAATTCGAGTTCTTGGTGCTAGGTAGATCAGCTCATACACACATGCCGCAGTATGAGTACAACGGACGTTGACTTTTTACTTGGCTAATACCAGACAGACAATACCCTGGTTTTCTAGCTTGACGTAGCTTCCCTTTTGTCTTCGCTTCTTTTTCCCTTTTATTTCTATCCTCATTTCTCCTCGCTTCCCTCCTCTTCTCGCTTTTGCTAAGCACTCTCCCGGGGTCGTGGGTTCGAGCCATCATTTTTACTACATTAGACCTACAGCGCCTACTAAGCTTCACAGCTCGCCCCGAAATACGTCAGTCATCAATCCAAAGTAACCGCCGCTCCGCCACCCTTGGTCTGCTCTGCACTGCTCTGCGCTGCACTGCTTTTTGCGCCCACCAAAGTGCAAAAAGTCACAGACGAGGAGGATAACCCGAGTTCCTCTGCTGCAATCTTGGAATTCGAATACCTGCTTTCGCTACCACACGTCTTATATGCTTGAGCCTCGCCATTGCTCTGCTCAATCTTAAAAAATTTTAGGAGTTAGAGGGGCTGCCGGCCGCTGGATTTTTTCTCTTTTCCACTGTTTCCCGAGCGAGCGAGCTCTACAGTAGCTTAATTTCGGGCCATGGGGCTTTCGTCCGTGCTAGCTCTCCCCCGGAGGAGTAGAGCGTCTACGGCTGGTAGTGAGTGCTGTGCCATTTGACCCCTCCGCCTCCGTCATTTCTTCAGCACCTGGATGACTTCGTTTTTTAAATTCTTATCCCCGGGGTTTCCCAAGACACGCGCACATAGTAGAGATAGAGAGGTTTTCCCCCTTGTCTGCCCACACTTGGGAGAGCGGCCCTACATACCCATTCATTTTTATTCCCTTCGTCCTGCGAGCCCGAGCGCTCCCGTAGCGTTACGACCCTTCACCTACATTTCCCCTTGTTGAACTGCTTTGCGAAAAAAACAAAATGTTAACCAACTGGTTTGCGCAACCTGCAGGCAATCGATCCTCAACCGACGAAGGCAAGATCGATAACGATGACGATGGCCAGTCGTTGGAGCCGGATCAGGGCAATGGTAAGCTGCGCAACACCATGGCGGGGGAGGGGAGGTGAAGCTTGGCATGGCGACATGGAGAGCTGGGATCACTCTGGAATATGGGAATCGTTGGGCTCACTAGATTGCAGTTCTCTCGCACATCATCTCACAATTGCGTCCTGGCGCGGACCTGAGTCGCGTGGTCTTGCCCACCTTTATTCTCGAGCCCCGAAGTATGCTGGAGAGGATAACAAAGTATGCCTTTGAGCTCTGCTTACTTTGTAGCCGTGCTGACCCGGTTGCAGCTTCATGTGCCACCCCGAGATGCTCCTGCATATTCCCACCATCGACGATCCCACCGAGCGATTTGTATCCGTCGTTAAATTCTACTTGAGTGGCTGGCACATTCGCCCACCGTATGTGTGTCTGTTCTGACAGGAGCGGTGCATTTGGCTAACGATTAGGCTTTAGGGGAGTCAAGAAACCGCTGAATCCGATCCTGGGCGAAATCTTCTCCTGCTACTGGGATCTCGAGGGCAACAAGCGTGCCTACTACATCTCTGAACAGACTTCACATCACCCTCCCAAGTCAAGCTACTTTTACATGGCCCCCGATCACCATATCCGAATTGATGGTACCCTCAAGCCCCGGAGTAGATTCCTGGGCAATTCCGCTGCCAGCTTGATGGAGGGCATTGCTTTCCTTACCTTGTTAAACAGGGGTAGCAATAAGTCCAAGGGAGAGCAATAGTGAGTCACATCCCCAAAAGATCTGACGCAGCGATTCTAGTTGCTAACTTTTTCGTAGCATATTAACACAGCCCAACATGTATGCAAGAGGAATCTTATTCGGCAAAATGAAGTATGAGCTTGGCGACCACAGCTTTGTCCGGTGTCCCGAACTTGACTTGACCGCCGACATTGATTTCAAGACAAAGGGCTGGGTTGGAGGCACTTACAACGCTATTGGCGGCGTAATCAAGAGGGAGAGTACTGGCGAAGTCCTGTTTGAGCTTTCGGGCCTATGGAGTGAAGAAATGTTTATCAAGGATCTGAGGGTAAGTTGCTCTTTCCAGACATGGCGAATTTTGCTGACAAGGGTAACTTGAAAGACTGGCCACCAAGACATGTTCTTTAACGCTACCAAGTCAAAGCCCAGCCCACCATTGGCTCGGCCAATTAAGGAGCAGGAAGAGCGAGAATCTCAAAGACTATGGGAAAAGACCGCCAAGGCCGTTAAGGAACGCAACCACGAGCTAGCCACGGACGAAAAGACAAAGATCGAAGACCGACAGCGCGAGGAGGCTGCCGCCAGGGCCCATGACAATGTCGAATGGCTCCCGCGCCTCTTCCGTGCTGTTAGGAGCGGGCCTGGAGAGCCAGAGGAAGGCGAAGAGAGCTTGGAGTGGATCATCAATGCTCATATGTTGGTGTCATCCCCACAAATCATCTTTGGTCAAACAACTAACACCTCACAGCGATACCGCAGCATCTCCCGAGAAGCAGACAGAACAGATCCTCGCCATATACCCAATTGTAGCTGGCCAGACATCTGGCGGCGCGACATCCATTCCGCCACAGGCTACCTCGCCAAAGGTGACCAAAAAGTCGACAAACCATGTGGTTGAAAACCCCAAGGAAGTCGAAAAGCCTAAGGAAGAGGATAGCCTAATTGACTTTGGTAATGAAGATGCTCCCACACCGGCTGCAAAGTCCCCGGACGAAATCGAGCGCATGCTCACGGCGACTGGCAAACCCGCAGAAGGCCCCCTGATCGACTTTACTCAGGAGATGAAAAAGGACTTGCCGGCAGATGGCGACCTCCTGTAGGACTTATGAAAAAAAAAAAGGGGG